CGAGGCGTCACACACAGTCACACCCACTAACACACACACACTCACACACACACACACACACACACACACAGACACACACACACACACACACACACACACACACACACACACACTCACTCACTCACTCACTCACTCACTCACTCACTCACTCACTCACTCACTCACTCACTCTCTCTCTCTCTCTCTCTCTCTCTCTCTCTCTCTCTCTCTCTCTCTCACACACACACACACACACACACACACACACACACACACACACACACACACACACACACACACACACACACACACACACACACACTGTGTGTGCGTGGGGAAGTGGACCTTGCTCTTGCCTCCCCTTAACTAAGTCCTTATTCACTAGGCGCCGGGCGGGAGGAGCCTCTCGGCGCCACTGCAGCGCGAGCTGCTCGAGGCGAGACGAGACGCCTTTGAGCAAGACCAGAGGTGTGCGCAGCCTAATTAAATAATTGAGCCTAATTAAATAATTTAATTAGACCAGAGGTATGCGCAGCCCGATCCCGGAGGGGAGGGGAGGGGGGGAGAGGGGTTTGGGGGGAGGGGAGGGGAGGGGGGGAGAGGGGTTTGGGGGGAGGGGAGGGGAGGGGGGGAGAGGGGAGTTTGGGGGGAGGGGAGGGGAGGGGAGGGAGGGGGAGTGGGGGGGGGGGGGGGGTTCCCCACTCTGAGGCCTCGGCGGGCGCGGCACCCCGTAGGTCGGCGCTCCTGAGAAAGCAGCAACGGGAGGTGATCGCGCTGCAAAAGCAGCTCGCGCTGCTCGGTTGCACGCCGCCCGCCGCCAGGGCCGCCAGCGCCGTCGCCGCCAAATCGCCCGCCTCGGCACCCGAAGGGTATAACACTTCTCCGCCCGGCGCCGGGGAAGGGGGTGGGGAAGGGGCGAGCAGCCACCACCGCCCGAGCGCATCGACGCCCTTCCTCGTCTGATTGCGGCGCCCGGTCTCTCACGCTGCCGCCGCAAGTGGCCCCGGGTTGCGACTGTCTCTTGTCCTTTGTCGGAGTGTGTGTTCGGATTGATGTGCCGTGATCTCTGAGTTCTGTGGGCCCTGGGGAGCGGCGAGGGGCGAACCCAGGACACAGAGCGAAAGTGTGTGGTGCCCGTGTCTCGTGATCGATTATCTTTATGTGCAATGTAAGCGACGAGAATGCCATGCTCGTGACCGAAGGCTACGGCCCCGTCGTGACTAGCCCCGTACACGCCGCTTTCGTGGGGGCGCGGAAACACACCAATAACACGGCGGAGCTGTCAGCGCTTGCGGAGCTCTTTTGCTCACTACTCCACATGGCACCACGACCAGCAGGCTCACGAGGGGTGGTCCGAACGGACAGCGAGTACGCGATGGCGTGTGCGACGGGGAGAATCTCGCCGGGGGAGAACGCACAACTAGCGAGCTATCTTCGAGCAGCGTGGCGGCATTTAGCGTCGAGGCACGAAGTCTGTGACATGGAGACACGTCAAGGGGCACAGTGGTCATAAGTGGAACGACTACGTCGATAAGCAAGCTGACCTCGGCAGGAGCGGCGCGAGGGATTGCGGCGCGCCGGAGTGGCAAGACGACGGGGAGAGCAGACGACGCGGGGAGAGCAGCACTGTGAGCGACGACATGCCTATCAACGGAGGGGGTACAACCATCCCACTCGACGACATCGGTGATGGGGCCTCTAGCTACGCCGATGACCCACCCGACTCCCCCGAAAACAAACCGCCGCCTAGCGCCCCGCCCTCACCGCCTAAAGCCCCAGTCGTGGAGCAGGGGGTGATATGGATTTCATACACGCCGAGCGCGCAGGCGCGACACATCGGAGACAATAGGCTGATCCGGCGTGAAAGAGCTATCGACATCGACCTTGACCCAGCCGATTCCACCGATGTCGACGCCATCACCTCCGCGGCTACCGCGCTTTCGCTCGAGGACACCGTGGAGAACCACACCGAAGACCTTGCCGAGGCGATGGGCCGGGTCACGTTGGACCTCGACCCCGCCCCCACCCCTCGGGGTGGGGGCACCCGCCCCTGTCGGGCGCCGCTTGCGGCGCCTGGCAGGGGCACCCCCTGGGTGGGGGCCGGCGATTCCCATGCCGGCTCTCTGCCACAACCCCCGCCGGGAGGGAATCCCTGCTCACAGAAAAGGGCTCCGAGCCCTGTCTCGCGCACGCCCCTGGCGGGCGCCGCGGACCAGTTCCGCGAGCGCTCGTCAGCGGGTGGTGTGCGGTTCTTGCCGTAGTTCCTCTTCGGTCGCCTAGCCCCGGCGCCGTCTGTCGGACGCCTGCGTGTCACGAGTGCGAGCCGCTCGCGGTTCGTACGCCCGCTTGCGGGTTCGAGTGGCGGGCCATCCCGCTTGCGGGATGGCTTAGCGGGTTCGAGCCGTCACACATTGGCTGCCAGTTTGTGCCGAGGGGGGGCTGGGTGGGCGGTAAGCCGTCATTGCCCGGCGCTGCTTGCAGCGCTCTGGGTGGAAGTGGCGGCGCTCCAAGAGTGGCGCTCTCGGGAAGAGGTTCCTCCTTTCCGCTCCCCCCCCGCAAGGCGCGAGACACACGAAACCGAAGACCGAAATCCTGGGGCCAGTTTTGCTGCGTGCGTGTGACTCTCTCGCAGCCCCTGTGTGACCCCCCCGTCACCTGTCTCCTGTGTGGGTGGGTCCGTGTGCTGTCGACGTCCCACATCTCCCGGAGGATTCATAATATTGTTACGTGAGAGTTATAAAAGGAGCACGACGCCCAGCTAGTCTACAGCGCTTTCACATGCAGGTGTGTATGCCAGGACGAGGAGCGGAGAGAGGAGTAAGTAAGCCTGTCCGGCGCCTCGAGCCACACGGCCTCCTTCAGCTTCCGTCCCACTGCTTGAGCCCAAGCTCTGCCGGGCTGCGATTCCGGTTGGCCTCCACGACCTTCCGTCCCGAGGCATCGCGCGCAAGGCCGCCGTTCTGCTTCCGATTCTTCTGCACCGTGTCATTGGCGTCAAAATCCTTGGACGCGACGCCGCGCACGCCCTTGTCGCCCCTGATGTCCTCGTACTCCTTCTTGCGGTACTCGCTCATGTACTGCCCAGCATTCGCGCCGGCGCCTTCCACTTTGTTTGGCGCAACGGTGGCTTTGGATCTCGCAATTGCGCTCAGCGGCACCGCCGCAAGCGCTGCTGCGCTGCCGCGCAGAAGATGCGCCCTCGGCATGGAGACTGCGTCCGCCGAGTGCGAGCAGGCAGCCAGGACGACCAGACAGCGCAGCATGGGCTAGGAGGCTGCCCACGAGTCTGTTTCACTGCTCGTCCCCTCTCCTTCGGCTCCGTTCGCGGAGCGCGAAAAGAATTCGCTGGCCCCGCAGCGCGCTTTCTTTTTCTTTCGGGCACGGGAGCGCGCTCACACCGAGCGTACGACAGCAGACAGGCTTGGCACCGGGTCAGAGCCATGCGGCTCCCAGCGTGGCTCCAAGGCCTCTCCCAGCCAGGCGGATACGCCGCCGTCGCCGCGGCGGCGTGGCTCCTGGCCAAGTACACGCCGCCGCTCTCCGCGATTGTGCGGGCGCTCAAACGGCCCGCAATCCTACACAAGCGGCAGAGCGGATCCATCCCGACGCCGGGCGGCGAGCTGGACTCGCTGGTCGACGCTGATTTCACGCCGCCGCTGCCGGAGCCGGTCGTCCAGGTCCTCACGCGCTGCTGCCTCTGCTTCCTTGCGACGTCCTCTGGCGACTCGCCGCACCTGTCGCTGATGCGCTTCTCCTTCTCGCGCTCGCTAGCGGCTCAGAGGCCGGGCGCTGAGGTGCTCATCGTGTCGACTCGTCGCAGCACGAAGAAATACGCGACCCTCTGCGCCAACCGGAACGTCGCCCTTCTCGTGCACGATTTTGCGGGCGAGAACGAGAGCGACCTGCTCAACTACACGGCCCTCGAGGGGCGGCCTCGCCACTCGATCACCCTCTCCGGCGTCGTGCGCGAGGAGAGCGGGGAGATGGCGGAGCGGTACCGCGCCATACACCTCGAGAAGAACCAAGCCTATGCGCAGTTCATCGTCGGCGACGACATCGCCATCCTCACCGTCGAGATCGAGACCGCCCGCGTGTGTGATGTCAACGATCGAGTCAGCCACTTCGAGCGCCAGCAGCGCGGAAGCGCGGTGTGGGTCCAGACCGATTTGTGAATGTGCACTCATCGTGAAGACCATTCTGTTGTATCACCACGTCCACGACCACGCCCCACCGCACGACCAATAGCGCGAAGTTACGAAAACCGTTGCGGAACGGACGAGGGCTGGGGTTGCGCACGTCGGCGCGGGTTGCTGTCGTCGATTTCCAGGAGCCGCTTGGTGCCCCGATGCCAGGTGTGGAAGTGGATAAGCACGGCCGTCCCTTGGTTGGGCGGCGCCGTGAGCAGCCGCTGGTGCAGGCCGAGGGAGCTGCCGAGCGTCTCGCCCACCGTCGGCTGCAGCTTCCTGCCAGCGTCGCGAATCGCTGATCAGCTCATCAGCCGTGCACCTCCCACGACCAAAATCACGCCACACCGCACACGCGACACGGCACACGCGATCGCGAATTTTCCCCCCCAGGCCCAGCCTCGGACCCCCTCGCGGGACGCGGTAAGGTAAGGTAAGGTAAACTTCTCCACACACACGAGGTGGTGGGGCAAGGGGGGGCAACCCTCGCGTCTCCACGTCTAACGACAGGAGCCCCACGGCATTTAAAGTGCAAGGCCCGGTGCGCGTGGGTGAGCGGTGTGTGTGTGTGTGTGTGTGTGTGTGTGTGTGTGTGTGTGTGTGTGTGTGTGTGTGTGTGTGTGTGTGTGTGTGTGTGTGTGTGTGTGTGTGTGTGTGTGTGTGTGTGTGTGTGTGTGTGTGTGTGTGTGTGTGTGTGTGTGTGTGTCACGTCACTGCATCCTCTGCCGGTTCCTCCCGCCGCCTCTTCTTTGTTCGAATGTTTTTCAATCCATCCTTCACGAATCCCTCCCATGTAGCTAGCGTTCTTTGCGAATGTCTAGGGACGCGGCCGCGCCACGCCCATGGTGCAGGACTCGACAACACAAAAATCTCTCCCTGTCGGACGACGCCAAGCACTTGGAGCACTTGCCATTTGGAGTGCAGTCGGCAGCCTCACATCCACGATCCAGGGCCGGGGGGCTAAGAGCACACCCAGCGGGCCAGATGATCGGGATCGGGTGCCATCGAGAACGACGGTCGCAACCCACTCAGGTCGCATCTGACAAGGGAAAAAACTCCCTGGGACACAGGTGTCGCACGAGCGTGTCTCATGGTGGGTATTCTGTTATTTCATACAGTAAAGCTACTTTATGCACTTATGCACTCAATTGGGTCGATTCCGCATTGTACCGAACCCCTCGATCGTCTCGCCCTCCCTCACTGGTTTGTTCATGGGGGGGGGTCATAACAAACACGGTACAGGATCGAGGTGCACGCTGCCAAAGCAGTGTCGTCCCCCCTCTCCCCGACAGGCTCGACACAGGTGCGGACTCGCAAGAAAAAGAATTTTACAACAAAGCTCCCTCGCACGACACTGGGCACGGGACTGGCGCGCACTGGCACTAACACAGGTACACTACGGGAGCGATGAGCGGTGATGAGCTAGAGAACTATACATGCTCCAGAGGCAGCGCGGTGGCCTCCTTGCTTCGGGTCGGCGTTCGTCGGGCTGGGACGAGCGAGGCGCGAGTGACAGAGTGAACGCGGGCACCAGCGGCCGTCGTGCCGCCGAGCTCCTTGGCGATTAGCAGGAGAGACACTCCTCGGTGCGAGCCCGGCAGGCAGGCGACGGCGAGGGCGTCGTACAGTCCCTCGGACAGCAGCTCGTCCGGGGTCGACTGAAAAAATCGGTCGAAGGAGCAACCGCCACGGTCGGGGTCGTTCTCGTGCGCCATCACAATTGGCATCCCGCGGGCGCGCGCCGCCTTTACATGCTCGGCTAGCAGTTCGTCCGACCAGGTGGTGTCGCGGAGGTACAGCAGCATGTGCGTCGCCTCTCCAGCGTCGGATTGAGTGGCGTTTGGCGCGTCGTCCGTGACTCCGATGTCGGGAAAGACGACTCGCAGCTCCTCGGCGAGAGCGCGCGCGCCGTCGTTGGCTGTCGACACCCAGAGCACGGGCTGTACGGGAAAGCTGAGCGCCTGCCCCTGCAGCTCGCCCGGGATGCGGAGGGGCAGCGCTGGCTGGCTGCGGTACTTTGGCGTCTGCAGCAGGAGCGCCTCGGCGATCATCTTGAGTGAGACTCGCTGGAACTCTTCCATGCGCTGCCACACCACGAGAGGCCAGCCCGCGTCAAAGACGTCGGGCTGCAGGTCGACAGGGCACTCCGCCCTCAGCTCCTGCGGAAAGGGGGGGTGTCGGAGCTCGGCTGGAGTCGTCGGGGCATGTGTGTCTCTGTCCGTCGTCCGACGCGCCCTGATGGTGCCGCCGCCCTTGGTCGGGTCGGCCTCGTGCACCAGAATGAGCGGCTTTCCCAGCCTCAGCGCGGCTCTGGCCTCGCGGAGGCAGTTCTGCGCAGGCGACGTGAGCGTGAGAGACGCTAGAGAGGTGTGGCAGGGAGGGGGGCGCGTGTCTCGCGCCTTGGAGCGCAGGCAGCCGCGCGAGAGGAAGATCAGCACGACCTGCGAGCGGCCGATGTACGCCTCGAGGTCGCCGATGCGCTGCAGGTTGTCCACATCGAGAAAGACCTGTATGCCTGGGAGCAGCCGCCGCAGCTGGTTCTTGATGACCGCGACCGCGTCCTGCCCAGTCGACCAGACGTGGCTCAAGAAGAGATGCCACTGCAGGCCCTCGCCGAGGGTGAAGCCGTCGCGAAGCGGCTCACGCCCGCTGCTGACGAGGCGGATGGTGGGTGCCGTCGCGGCGTTGGCCGCCGCCACTGCCACCACAGCCAGTGAGACGGCGAGCATGGCAATGGTGAGGGCGATGACGAAGGCGATGGCGCCGTCGGCGCTTGCGAACCCGATCAGATTGAAGCACATGTTCTCGTACACGTTGCTATCGCACAGCTGCACTACGATGCCCGAGATGAAGCAGCAGGTTAGCAGCAGGCTGCTCAGGCACGCCAGGTAGAGGTCGTCGGCGCGGCGGTACGGACGAGCCAGCGCGAGGATCGCGAGGTACATGGCTGAGACGGTCGCGGCGACGATGGACCTCTCGAGCTTGCTCGAACCGAACTCGGAGTCGATAAAGAGCACCATTGAGGTGAGGAAGATCTTGCGGAGCAGGTCGAGCACCTCCCAAAAGAGGCAGCGCGAGGTGTAGTCGCGCCAAAGGAAAGCTGTCGCGCGGGACAGCCTCGAGGCGCGCTGCGCCCTCACGGCGGATCGGATGCTCAGCAGCAGCGCGAGGAAGCAACACGGGACGAGCACGGGCCAAAGGATAAAGAAGGACCAAAAATAGGCTTCAAGCTCATTCGAGCCGTCAGTCCAATTTGGTCCCCGGTTGCACGTAGTCGTCAAGTCGGCGCGTAGGTAGCTGATTCGATCTTCAGTAGTGTCGTCATAGACAAAGGACTGGCACGACTTGGCGCTGAAGATGGAGCGAGAGACGGAGGGGAGCACCAGGTAGAGAATGAGGATCATCCACCACAGCATCCGGCCTTTAGCGTGGTCGAGGGCGGACCGGACGCTGCGGTAGGTGGCCATCTCATGAGCGATGATGGCGAGCGCAACCGCCGTCCCGGCTACGAACGGCCAGAGGCTCCCGATGAGAAGCTGAACCCGCATCGAGCCGAGGCATGAGCCCGGAAAGACAAGCCCGACGGGATTGATCTCGAACTGTCTCACAAAGTACAGCCAGCGCTGCGCCAGGGAGGTGTTCTCCAGGTGCACTCCATAGACGCCGCTCAGGGTGCTGCTAATCTGGTAGAAGCCGAGGAGGATTTTGACCTTCGGCTGAAAGCCCACCTCCGACTCCAGCTGTGCGAGCTGGCATATCCAGGCACGGGTGGCTGGGATGCGTGTGGCTGCACGGTAGCCAAAGGCAAACAGGGCGGCGAGGCACGCGAGGAGAATGAGAATGCCAGCGGTGCGCTCCGTAGAGGGACAATCGATGCAATGTCTGTCGTTGCGACTAAAGTACTGGCCATGGTCAACGCAGACTTGACAGAGCGGCCCTTTGTGGCCGTCGGAGCAAAGGACTGCGTCGCTCGTGCCATCCTCTAGCAAGGCTAGCCGACTGCTAAGGTCGACCGAACCCGCACAAGTGTCTGAGTCGTTGCAGCTGTAGAGCATCGCTGTGCGGAGGGAGGCGCGCCAGAAGCCGGCTGGGACGCCGAGCGACTCGACGGTGACGTTGGGAGTGCTGCAGGTAGCGTTTGGTGGGCAGGACCTGCAGTACTTACTCGGATCGCGGAGGATCGCCACCGAGGTGGCATTCGGTTCATTGAGATAATAGCCCACCTTGCAGACGTCACAAGTGCTGCCACTGCCGTCACCGCCAAGGGGATGCGGGCAAGCGAGGGGGAAGTCCTGCTCGACGGGCAGCAGCGGGAGCTGGTAGAGGTTCTTGCCCAGGAGGGAGGGATCGCCGCCGGTCTCGGCGTTCCAGTTGCAGGGCTGCACTGACGTGACGGCCTCGCACCACTCGGCATGGGCATCGGCATTGAGCGCGCACGCGTCGCGGTTAGCGAGGCAAGCCGCCAGCTGCTTTGCCTGCTCCACCGTACACAACTGCTCGAGAACACAGTCTGACGAGCAACCATCCCGGTAGACCTCACAGCGTGTGTTTGGAATCCAGCGATCCACGGGAGCGGGAGGGATGTAGATGACATCGCCTGCGCGTATGAAAACGGAGCGCCCCTGCCCCTCCGGGGCCGAGCAACCGCTGAAGAGTGTGCGGTTACTCAGGGTTGTGCGACCGCCCGCCGAGTAGAGACCGCCGCCAGCCTGTGTAGCGCTACAATTGGAGACGTTGGATCGGGTCACAGTCGCTGTGCCCGAGTGCACGTATAGTCCGCCACCAAACTTGGCTCGGCAGTCGGAAAAGAGTGAGTCGATCACGATGAGGTCCACCTCCCGAGCATATACGGCCCCTCCCTGGGGGGGGGGGGGGGGGGGGGTGCACTTGCCCGCTCAGATCTCCCTACGCCTACTTTTCTAGCACGCACGTCGCCGTCTGCCGCCGCGCAGTCCTTGAAGGTCGAGTTTATCAGCGAGACCGACCCGCCGGCGTGTGCTTGGATGGCGCCGCCCCGCTAAAGCAAGGAGAAGAGGTCAGTGGAGAGAGCTGCGCTTGATACTACTGGCAGCGGCGCACAGCGGTCGTCCGAGACCCAATGACGATCGAGTCGACCAGTGTGATGTCGCCGGCGTACATCGCATCAATGATGCCGCTAAAACCTTCCGCCGCACTCGCATTCACGAGCGTCACGCCCCGCAGGGAGAGGCTGCACCCACGACGCAGCACAAAGAGACCCGTCGTTCCCTGGCCGTCGAGCGTTGCGCCGTCGCCGTCGCTAAAAATAGTGATTTTCACCTCTGACGAACAACCAATATAACTGCCCAGCTTTATGTCCTCGCCGGGCGGCAAGAAGATGCTGACGTCGCTGCTGGCCTCCTCAACTAGCAAGCGCAAGACTTGCTCGCTCGTTGCGGAGAACGAACCCGGGATGCTTGGCGGCATTGGGGGAGGGGGCTGTGGCGATGGCGATGCCGGTGGCAAAGGCGGCGATGCAGGAGGCAGCGGTGGCCGTGGCGGAAAAGGTGGTTTGGGCGGCGGTGAGGGCGGCAGGGGCGACGGAGGCGACAGTGGTGGCAGAGGCGCCGAAGGCGGCGGCGGCGGCGGCGACGGCGATGGTGGCGGTGAGGGAGGCGGTGGTGGCTTCATCGAGTAGCAGCTGTAACTCAAGAGATCCACCCGATTCATTGAACCCGCAACTTGTTGCCCGGAGCTATTGAAGTCGCGACGACAATATGGAAGTCCCCTTGACTTGCAGCCGGTGAGATCAAATGCGGGAGTTTCTGCCAAAGTGATTGCGAGGCAGTTCGGATCGCCCTGGCAAAGCCTCTTGCACTCGAACTCAGACTGGCAGCCTTCGGCAAAATGGTCGATCAGATCACCAGAGTTGTCGACGCAGAAGCCGTTGCCAACCAAGAAAGTCGGTGCCAGATGTGAAGAGAACGGCGAAGGCGGCGGCAGTAGCGGAGGAGGCGGCATTTGCAGCTCGGATGGAGGCTGGACGGGGCCGAGTGGCGACAGCAATGACATGAACGTCATGGACAAGGAGAACGCGCGAATTTGACACGTAAAAAAAGAATTCCCGGTAAACGTCCACACACACAAAGGGTCTAGATTTGGGGCGCTCGCCGAAGATGAGTACGACAAAATAGCGCCCGTGATTGCCTGCACGCTACCCGCACTCACGGACTCCATACCCGAAAGAAAGAGAAGGGAGCTCGCGGGAGAGGTGACGAGTGAACTACAGGGGTAGACAACGTGAACAGGGCTCCAGGCCCCAAATTACGTGTGAGTGTTAGAGTTGTTTGGTATTGCTAAAAATCTCTCTCTCAGGGGTAGTGGGGAAGGCAGCCTCGATTGCCATACAGACATGGGTGCGAAACAACGACAAGACCAAGGCACGGGCAGAGGAACGAGAGAAGAATATAGGGTGGATAAAGCGCCTGTTCACGGCATGGAGGGTGAGCCACACCGAACGTACCGAGCGAAGAGCCGAGCGGAAGGAGGACGGGGAAGATGACTCAGAGGAGGACGAACCAGTGGAAATTCAGTTGTCAGATGTCACGATGCATCCGAAGGGGACCCCAGCGCCGGCATCATCCGTACTAGAGGCACGAGTGTTCGAAGAGAGAGTGGACCTGAGCAACAACATGACCTGTAGGCAAATGATCGGAGTGTGGGAGTCAGAAATGTGGTCCTTGCGCGAGGGGAGCTCGATAGACTTGAGGGGCCAGGATACGCCGCGAGGAGGACGGAGTTACGCCGAAAGGCGAAGGAAGCCGCGAGAACAAGGGACCGGCAGGCGGCGGCGCCGCAGGACGAGGCAGAAGAGAACGACGCGACAGAGGAGGAAGTGACAAGGGAGAGAACGACGAGAGTGGGACGGCCGCGAGGTGGCATGAAGGTTGCAGCGAGAAGCGGCGAGAGACTGCGAAAAGAGATACGAAGAGGCAGACTCCCCAGGGTGGGCGACGGCTAGCGCATCACACTCCTCTCCTTAAAAAATCCCTGTGTGGTGGCGGCGTGCCGTTCTCCCATCCCTCCCTCGGGTTGTCTTTTTTCTTTCTTTCTTTTACCCACTTGTACCCTTGCCCCCCCTCGCATATCTCAACGCCCGGGACACGGGCAGGAGCCATACATCGTTTCACAAAGTGCAAGCACTGGCCCGGTGCGGTGGGTGAGCAACCTGCACCACGGCACCGAGATCGATCGAGGCAGGTGACTGTGGCTGCAGGAGAGTACCATCCGCATCAGTTTACTATGATGCATATGGGTAGTACCTATCTGTAGGGTAGAGGAGGCAGGAGGGGGAGAGGGGGAGAGAAAGTAGGTAGGGGGTGCCGTTTGTTTCCGGTTGGGGCCCGCCGCGGGGGCTTCCTTCGGAAAACTCTTTGCACCGTTTGGCATGAGCCATGAAGACTGCCATGGTGCATGGAGGTCCACGCTCTTTGTGTAAGAGTTCTACACAATCTACACCGTACAAAAAGTAGAAAATAAACACCGCTCCCACCGCCTGTGCTCAAATCTGAAGTATTCGGTGCATGTGAGAGAAAAGCTACGTTACGCACGCGTTCCGTACCTCGAAGAGCGTGTGTTGCGGCGGCGGCGCGCACAGGGTCGACATCCCCAGAAGAAAATCGAACCGCTATCCGAAGATATCAACATGGATAGGAGCAACATGCCGAGTCAAATGCACAGCGTATGAAACCGCAAATCTTGCATCCTACAGAAGCGATCCGAGCTGCCGGCATCATTTCCTTGGAATCTTGATTGCTGCCTGTCCCGTTGCCGGGGTTGCCCTTGATCGCCAGCCACGGGATGTTGTACTTTGCGCTTTTAGCGGCATTCATGGCCGTGTTGACGGCGCCTTGGCCCTGCAGAAACGGAGACTGGCCATACTGCGCAACGTCGAGGTTGTTGTAATCCCCATCCCCGCAGATGTACAAGTCAGAGTTGTTGGAGACGTAGGTGCGCGAATCGTTTAGCCAGCTGCTGCTCAGCGTGATCATCCTCTCAAAAGAGTACGATTCGGAGCCGTTCGCCGGCTGATGAAACACTTGAATGGTGGCGCCATAATAGGTCAAGGTGGCATTGAGACCTTCCAGCCGTTCTTTGATGCCTTGGTTCAACTTCTCGACTCTGCCCCAGTACACGCCAAAGTGAAGCCCTGCAGCATTCACCTCCTCCGGCAGCTTGCGGCCAAGAATGACGTCCGCGTCTTCACCGAGGACAGCGAGGCCGCACGTTTGGCCAATGGCGGCGTTGTTCGAGCCGACGTAGAGGTACACGTCCTCGTTGTGGTATGTGTCTGTGTTGGTCGTGACGACCGGGAGGCGTGGCGTGCAGCCCTTGATGGCCGCATCGATAGCCGTGTACTCGGCTGTGCCTTCATCGTGGGGAATTGTGACAACGACGGCGTCCGAAGAATTGCAGGCCGCTGCAATGGTTTCGGCAGCGAGTGGCCCGTTGAAGCCGACTGGGCGCCACTCGAGCACTGCGCTGCCTTGCGCCGCGAGCTCAGCACCAGCCTTCCACGTGCCCCAAAACGACGCCGTATCGTTCAACGCGTGCGTGATCACGGAGACAGTCGGTTGCCACGGACAGACTGGCTCAGGTAGGCTCGCGAACAAGGCGCGCCGGGCTGGCAGCGCAGCCGCCTGTGCAGCACGGGCGGGGGGTACGGGCGAGTGCGCACAGGGCGGCACCTTGAGCGTGTGCGCGAGCGGCACCTTGCGCGCTGGGAGCTCGGAGTTCGCAGCAGCCAGCTCGGACTTGACTGCGGCCAGCTCGGATGCCGCTGCAGCCAGCTTGAAGTTTTCAGCCAACGTGCTGTCGAGGCTGCGCTGGAGTCGGTCGAGCTGAACTTTGAGTGTGGCGATTGTGTCTGCCTCGCTAAAGGTGTCGACGTTCGTCGTGGAGAGGGCCTGCGCTCCGGAGACGAGCACGGCCGCCAGCATGGCCCAGGCGGGGCGACGGATCGCTCCGAGAGCGGGCGTAGCACCGAGCACGAACATGACAGCCTCCCTGGGGGGGGGGTGAGAATTGAAGAAAAACGCCACGTTTGTAGATCGTAAAATTCTAGTGCCAGTGCGCGCCAGTCCCTGTGCTGTGGCCGTGGGAATTCTTTTGCTCGCACGACACTGGAGCGTTGTAAATTCTTTTGCTCGGCCTTGTCCGACGGCGAACCGCCCCGCCGCCTCTCTCTCGCTCGCGCTGCCTAACCGTTCGCCATATCCCACCACTATCCCACAGCCAACGCACGCACGCACTCCTCAGCACGCTAGATGGCAGTCAGTAGTAGCAGGGACGACGACGAGGCGTGGGCGAGGGCGGCCAGGAGCGCTCTCACCGGCCTCCCTCCGTTGCCGCCCGCCATCGCCGCCGCCAGCAGCCTCGGCGGTGCTGGTGGCGGCCTAGGCGGCGGCATCGGCTCCGGCGGCCGCTGCCCGCCGTGGCTCCACCCGTGCTTCTCCGACCTGCTCGGCAGCTACGGCGCTCCGGCCGCCGCCGGCGCGGCGGCCGCGCCGCTCGACGTGCCTCTCCGCTTCCTGCACAGCTTGCTCGAGGCGCTGCACGCCCACTGCGCCCTCCCGGCGGGAGAGCACTCGGCGGCGGTCGTGGAGGCCATCGAGGCGCTCAAGAATGGTGCCGATCTCGCACCTGTCGGAGGCTCTGGCGACTCGCCCCGCCGCCTGCTCGACTTCCTCTCCCGCCTCACCGAGTTCCTCTCCCGCAAGGACGCACTCGGTCTGCCCCAAGAGATGCCCACTCTGGACAGACGGGCGGGGACTCGACTTTTTCCCCACTGACCACTCGGGCAACTTTTACCAAATGCCAAAGTTGCACTTTACCATTCGGGCAACTCCGATTGCATTTTACCACTCGGGCAAACTCGATGAAACGGGCGGACGGAAAACGCGTTTGCGGTCGCTCGCCGGAGAGCTATGCATGAAGTGGCCGGCGCGCCACCGCAGCTCACCGATGGAGCTTGCGAAGCGGCTCAATCCACTGGCGCAGCAGCATTGCGACCCATTCTCCAAGCACGGCCTCTGGCGTTGCGACTGCACAGAGAGCGAGCAATAGTCGCCAAAGACACTGATATGTGTGCAGCGGATCTCCATGGCGGTTGCGCCCAGCGAAGGGACAACCGCAGGCCTCGGATGCTCGCCCGGATGCGGACCCACTGTGCGAGTTGCAGCCCCGGAGGTGGCCGACCCAGCTCACCCCAGAGAGGTCAGGCATAAAAGGGGGGTGTTTTTCCGTCCGTCCGTCAATCTTGCGCTACTATGTGTATAACCAACCACGATCGATGCGAGGACGCAAGTCCACACCAAACTCGGCCATTCCAACGGCCAGACCGCTCGCTTAAGGCTGATTGGCTAGACGAGCGGTCTACCTCCGACGGGGCGCCACGGGGCGGTCTGGATCACGGGGGATGACATCCTGCCTCCCGGCATGCCGGGAGGAGGTGGTTGCTCCCGCCGGACCCCCCCCTCCACCACCCTCGCCCAGGGATCTACAACGCTGTCTCAAGGTCCGACCTGTGGGCTCTGCCTGTGCGCTCGGCACCGGGCACCGCCTCGGTCGGTATACAAAATGCGCCTGCGGGCGGACCCTTACAGTATACAGACCACACACAGATCACCTACAGGTCAGTCGGAGGATGGCTGCACTGACTGGCTGGAATATCCAAAATGGCGCGTGCTGGGAGGGCGGAGTGGGCAAGGGGGGACCCCAGTGCCTCGCCAGTTTCCAGGTGGGACGGCCGACGCAATACACCGTCCACATGCATTGATGACACATGACAGCCGGTGTCCTCCGCGCTCGCCGTCTGCCGACCTTTCGCATTTTGCGCCGCGTGTACCGCGCGTACACGCAGGACCCGCACGCCGCACTGGGCGTCCGCCGCGGCGCTTCGCTTGCTGAGGTCAAGCGGCGCTACCGGGAGCTCGCCAAGCTGCACCACCCTGATCGTAACCCGGCAGACCGCGAGGGCGCGGAGCAGCGCTTCAAGGCCGTGAGCCACGCCTACGTTCAACTGCTTGGGTGCCGGGTCTCTGGCGTCGATGTAGACGACGACGCGCCGAGCTACTCGCCATTCACCCTCGGCGACGCTGAGCAGCTTTTCCGTGAACTCTTCCGAGATAATGCGCGCTCGCTCACCAACCTGTGGAGATCCGACTGTCACAGCCGACCGGCACTCTCGGATAACACGAACTCTTCACACGCGACCCTTGAATTAGGCGCTCCGCGAGGAGCGACGACTCGAGAATGAGCAGGCGCTCGAGAAGCTGCTCAGTTCCCGCCCCGGCGTGCTCGAAGACACCACTCGGCACCCTGCAGGCGGAGACACATGAACAGAGAAGAAAAGGTGAACCTGCTTCTCGTGCGTAATGTTGGACAATGATTTCGGCAGGAGACAGAGTGAAAGAGCGTCCACGCGCACCCCACGGCTCGTACATATAGAGACGAGTGGACGGCCGCGGCAGGCCCGCAAGCACCAAGCAGGCGAGCACTCTATGCAGCCTCTCAACAGAACCGCTTCAGACACCTTTGTAGCCGCTGTTGCTGTTGCTGCTGGCGACCAGAGTGTGGCCCTCCCTCACCGCCTGCTGTATCGCCTCGGCACCAGCGGCAGAGGTGGGCGGCGGTGGTGGCGGCGGCGCGGTGAGATCGCTGGTGTCCCTTCCCGCCTCCCTGCGGGCGTAGAAGTTTTAGCTTACTGGGAGAAAAGGGAGAGGGGGTTGTGCTCTCTAGGCCCCTAAGGGCCCTACGCGCGGCGTGAGAGCTCGGAAGCTTTGCACGGCGATCGAGGATGGCGCGGTTCACCCCCTTCACCGAAGCGATGGAGATGCGTTCCGCGTGGTGGTGACACAAACGAGAGGCGGGAGTGGGGAGGGTACGCGGTGTCAAGTACTGGGAGAAGGGATCAATGTACGTACTTTTACTCTCTCTCTCTCTCTCTCTCTCTCTCTCTCTCTCTCTCTCTCTCTCTCTCTCTCTCTCTCTCTCTCTCTCTCTCAATGTAGTACTTTTGGCTTACTGGGAGAGAAGGGAGAGGGGGTTGTGTTCTCTAGGCCCCTAAGGGCCCTACGCGCGGCGTGAGAGCTCGGAAGCGAGCTTTGCACGGCGATCGAGGATGGCGCGGTTCACCCCCTTCACCGAAGCGATGGAGATGCGTTCCGCGTGGTGTGACACAAATGAGAGGCGGGAGTGGGGAGGGTACGCGGTGCGGTCAACGCCCGAGCGTTGAGCCTTGCGCGCAAGGCGGTTGATCTTTGCAACTGCAGGCGGCGAGAAGCCGCCGCCGAATGTCTCGTGGAGAAGCAGCAGCTGTCGTAGTGGAGGCGAGGCTCCTTCGAACCCCGTCGTGCGTCGCCCGGCCCGCCATTGTTGTCTGACTCTGTTTCGTCGTCGGAGCGGTCGGACCGGGCGCGGGTGTTGGCGTTTCCAGGCATGGCGTAGATGGCAACGCTGAAGATGTGCCACGGGCCTGGAGAGGCGCCGCCCTGCGCGGGCATGTGCTCGGGGCGTGCGAGGGCGCCTGCCTGCGTAGGCGAGGCTGCCGTCGCGGAGCGAGTGACGGGTAATCGTGGCCGTGGCCAAGAAAGATCAAATATTAAGGGCTCTATTTTGCCTACCGCGAAAAACTCGACGGTTTTGGGCGTTTCAGAGCACGCTGAATCGATTGGCTTAGCTATAATTCTCGCCAGCCCCTTCCTTTCATAATTATTGACTCAAAACTCGATGATCGCGCGACTTTGGAGCCGTTATAGCTAAGCCAAAACGTTCCTCTCGAAAAATTGACTTAGGAAGCCGCAAACGGCAGCTTCTGAAAGCCTCACCGGCGCTTATTATTTGATCTTCTCCAAAACTAGGCCTGCGGCCAAAATTTTCTAAAGGCCGCTGCGCGGCCAGCGCGATGCGCAACCAGACAGCGACCGACAGTCAGCAGCAGACTGTGACGATTGGCGGCCTCGCGCCCTCAGTCAACCTCCTCTACCAACTCCCCTGCCCAGCCCATATGCCTCATCCACGGTGGCGCAATCACTCGCGCAGGGAGAGAGAGAAAGTCGGCGATCTGCGCCGTGCAGATGAGCTCCGCCTCGTCTGCGTCGAGGACGCCCATCGCAGGGCTGTCATAGCGCCATTGCATATGACGTACTGCATGTTGTTCATTACTTCGCAGGTGCCAAAGTCGAGGATAATCTCACTCAGCGATGGCGAAGGCTGCACTCCCGGCCGGCGGTAGGAGGGATGAAGGTTAATGTACTTCGCAGTGTACGGTGCCTTCCGGCGCGAACAGTGCCCGGGACGAAAGAGGAGGCGACGTCTCCCTCGTCCATGGACGGTGTAGCCAGCTTGAGAGACGGGAACGAACGGCGGTGAATCGCCGACAGCGGCGCCTTCATTCTTTTCCAGTGAATCGCCGGCGGGTGCCCTGAGCGTTGTATCTGTCGGCCAGTTGCCGCACCGCCGGCAGCAGCTCCGCAGCAGCCGCCCAGATGGCGGCGGTTAGGACAGGAGCGAAGCCGCGTGGACACGGCTGAGCGACGCCGTGCGTCTCGTTTGGATGCTGCAGGCATGCCGGGCAGCGCGCGTGCTCCATACCGCGTCGGGCGCCCGCCGAAATCTTCGATTTCTTTCGCGTAGGGGACCAAAAAACCTGAAAATTTTCTTCGCCTGCGGCGGGCAATTAATTTCGATACTTTCGCTTTCACAGCTCTTTCACACGACTTTATCCGTCACTCGCTCCGCGACGTAATCGATGTGGGCACCGGCGCTGTCGAGTTGCAGTCGGGCGAGGGGTTGGGCGACTGCGCGGGTGGTGGCGGCGCTCGGCGTGAGCGTGGCCGGGCCCTGTGGGCACCCTAGCTAAGTGCCTGGGCACCGCTGGCGGAGCCTGGCAGGGGCACCCCCTGGGTGGGGGCCGGCGATTCCCATGCCGGCTCTCCGCCACAACCCCCGCCGGGAGGGAATCCCTGCTCACAGAAAAGGGCTCCGAGCCCTGTCTCGCGCACGCCCCGGTTCTTGCCGTAGTTCCTCTTCGGTCGCCTAGCCCCGGCGCCGTCTGTCGGACGCCTGCGTGTCACGAGTGCGAGCCGCTCGCGGTTCGTACGCCCGCTTGCGGGTTCGAGTGGCGGGCCACCCCGCTCGCGGGATGGCTTAGCGCGGGTTCGAGCCGTCACACATTGGCTGCCGGGGTGTGCCGAGGGGGGGCTGGGTGGGCGGTAAGCCGTCATTGCCCGGCGCTGCTTGCAGCGCTCTGGGTGGTAGTGGCGGCGCTCCAAGAGTGGTGCTCTTGGGAAGAGGTTCCTCCTTTCCGCTCCCCCCCCCGCAAGGCGCGAGACACACGGGAGTCGCTTAGGCGGCTCCCGTGGTGTACCTGTGTTAGTGCCAGTGCGCGCCAGTCCCGTGCCCAGTGTCGTGCGAGGCGTCTTAAAATTCTTTCCACCATATCTTTTCCTTCGCACAAAATTCTTCGGCAGGCGGCGGACCAGCTGAGTAACAAACTTTCGCACGCTCAGCACCTCGATGAGGTCACATGGACCACCAAGAACTGGCACGGGCTGCAGATGCAGCGCTTGTCTGTCGTTCTCCACACCGCCGTGGCGTGGCAGACGGTGAACGAGCTAGCGTGCGGGGACAGCGGCATTGTGCACGGACGGTGCTAAGTGCATTGCCGTTCTTAACGGAGGCAGCTCCGGTGGTGTGCCTGTGATAGTACTAGCACGCGCCAGTTCGCACCTGTGTCGAGCCTGTCTGCTGTGAGAGAGAGTTGTTTTGTTTAAATTCTTTCCTTCTACTTTTTTCTTGCACGTTGCACCATATGTGTGTATGCATACATACACACATATGTGCGGTTCTTGCCGTAGTTCCTCTTCGGTCGCCTAGCCCCGGCGCGCTCTGTCTTTGTTCTTTTTTGAGCTAAACTTCGATGTTAATAGAAACAAGCGAAGGCACACACAACATGACGCCAAACACACGATTGCACGCACCGCACCGCACCCAGCACGCACTTGGAGCACTTGGAGTGCAGTCATTAACCTCACATCCAGGGCCAGGGAGCTTAGAAGCGCACCCAGCGAGCCGGATGATCGGCATCGGGCTACGGGCTAGAGAGCCCTAAGTAAACACGGGTCCCCGAGGGTTGGCTCTGCGCTCCGAAAAGAAAGAAAGAAAGAAAACAGACAACCCAAGGGAGGGATGGCTCTGCGCTCCGGGTTTCCCCTAAAAGAAAGAAAGAAAGAAAACAGACAACCCAAGGGAGGGATGGGAGGGTTTCCCGAATGCTTTTTTTCTTGTTAGGCTGGCGCGCAGCGTTGCACGCTGCACCATATCTGTGTACACATATGCGGCGCCTCGCTCTCGCCCTGGCGGCCCTACCTCACGCCGCAGCCTTCGCGCTTTCGTCGCCAGCAGTGCTGAAGTCGCCGCTCGATGGCCGCCTCTCGCGCGCAAGGCCGCTCTTTGTGCAGGAGCAGGGCTATGCGCAGGATCTGCCGACCGGGTGGAGCGCTGCTTACGCCGAGGACGGAGCGCTCTATTACGTCAACGAGCAGACGGGCGAGTCTCAGTGGGAGGCGCCGCTACCTCAGAGCTACGGCGTGGCCCTGTGGCGGCTCGTTCCCTTCGCCGGGGTGTACGATGAGTACGCGCTCGGCGCCGGCGAGCAGCAGGTGCTCGGCCGCTTCGACATGATGGCGCAGTCGCCGTACGTGTCTCGGCGACAGTGCGTCGTTCAGGTCTCCGCCGACGGAGTCGCCACCATGACCACGACCGGGAAGCCCGCCACAGTCTGTCGCCGGTGGGGCTCCGAGTGGTACTGGTTTCGGCGCGACACCGGGCGGCGGTACCGGACGCCGCTCACGCAGACCGAGCCGCACATCCTGGTCGACGGCGAGCAGATCAGCCTGGACTGCCACAACCCAGAGGCGGCCATCTACACGGTCGTCTGCTGCCAGGAGGCGGGCGGCGCGAGCGCAGGCGGCGGCGGCGGGGTGGAGTACAGCGACGACGGGTGCTGGATGTGGAACGGGGTGGAGTGGGTGCCCACGGCGTAAGAAAGAAAGAAAAGAAAGAAAAACAGACAAACCGCCAGACAGGAGGAGGACAGTCGTGGCCGAGGCGGCGACGGGAGCGGTGCAGAGGTGGATCCAGCTCAATGATGAGGCTACGGCGCGCATAATGAAGAGAGAGGAACACATCGAGTGGCTGAGGAAGCTCTTCGCTGGGTGGAAGGAGGCCCGGCCAGCCTTGAGGGAGTCGCGGATGAGGAGGGATAATGGAGGCAACGCAGGGACGGGCCAACAGCCAGAGGGACGAACGAGGGCCGCGACGGCGGCTCAAGCGGGAGGGAGCGGAGACGGTGGGCAGAGAGCGAAGTGGGTGAGACTGATGATGCTCCTTCGACTTAGGGAGCGGTTCAGATGCTGGGCGGGCTTCAGGCTGGTGCTCACGCGAAAAGGAATCGACGCGATGTGCAAAGCATACAACAAGAGGAGAAAGAAGAGGACGGACATCAGTGATGACGAGGCAGAAACTAGCGCAGACGAGAGCAGGGCAGACCCGGGGACTGGGGAGCCGGAGCAGACGGCATCGGCCGCCGAGGGAACGTTGGGAAGAGGCACGAGGAGGGCGGCGACCTCGACCGACTATGGAGGACCCGTCGCCAGACGACGCAGGGCAGAAGACGGTGAGGCGGAGCAGACGCGCAGGGCGAGACGAGGGAGGGAGCAGGACTTTGCGGAGATCAGCAGGAGGATGTACGAAGAGATTAGGAGCAGCAGGGACCCGAGGGACCATGTGGAAGACGGCTAGTGCTAGTCCCCCATCGGGAGGACGACCCCGGCTAGTCGCCGACCACACCCACAAAGAACCCTGCACAAAGATCGCAAGGGCGGGGGCCTGTTCCTTTTTACCCATCTCACAGTAGAGAGGTGTCCGTTTTTATTTATTTATTTAGGAGGAGGACAGGGACCACACCGCTGCACGAGCAGGATTTTGGAAGGACGATCAGGGGCACAGGTGGGGCTCTCCTGCTCCGGACAAGGGACACGACAGGCTCGCAGCGCGGTGCACGGTGGACTCCCTGGCCACTCGGAGCATGCTCGCTCAGCAAAGCCTCCGCCGGGCCGCGATCTCCGCGCTGTGGTGCCACGCTCGCGCGCTCGCCACCACGATCGCCGGTCCCTGCTCGTACGAGGTCGTGGTGAAGAAGTCCCGCTTCGTCGCGAGCGCGGCTCCGGTCAGCTCGGCCGAAGAGGCCCTCGCTTGGGTGCGGCGTGAGTCGGACGAGTCTGCGCGGCACAATTGCTTCGCCTACATGCTGTCGGACGGCTACAGCCGATCCAACAACGACGGTGAACCTGGAGGCACGGCAGGGCCGCCCATCGCCGCAGCCATCGCGGGCGCTGGCGTGGTCGATGTGGCAGTGCTGGTGAGACGCTACAGACTGGACGGCGGCGCGAAGCTCGGGACCGGTGGCCTGGTCCGGGCGTACGGCGGCGCGGCGCAGGGCGTGCTCGAGGCGGCGGCGCGGACGCCTCTTGTTCGGCTCGTGCCCGTAGAAGCGAAATACGCAACCTTGCATTTCCCAACTGGCGCTCGAGAGGACACGCGTTCAGCTGCATTCGACAGCATTCAGCTGCGTCCCCGCCCCGATGTTGGCGTACTCACACCGTAGGCTCGTCCCCCTGACGGTCGAGTTCGAGGCGACCGACACTGGGGCGGTGTATCGCGAGGCGGGCGGCTTCGAGGCGGGGCCGGTGTCGCCGGGAGACGGCGCGAGGACGAGGGCGACCTTCCGAGTCCCCGCAGAGCAGGCGGAGGAGGTGGCGCGCAGCATAGAAGGAGCGACGCACGGGCGCGCGACGGCGCGGTGGGCCGGCTTCGACGGCGGCGGCGAGGATTGTGGCGGCGGCGGCGGCGGCGGCGGCGGACCGACACCGATGGCGGCTGTTGCTGCGGCTGCGGCTGCGCCTGCAGCTGCTCTCGAGCAGGCCGCGCCTCCCGAGTTGGGTCGCGTGGATGGACTGCGTGAACTGGTGGACGGTTTGCCGAGGGAGGCGCAGGCGGCGGCGCTGCGGTGGTGCGACGCGCACGAGGCGGGTGCAGTCTCGCTCGTCGTGCTGGCGGAGCTCGACCAGGCGCTGGTCGACTCGCTCCCCGAGGAGGCGGCGCAGGCGGTTGGAGAGCGGTTGTCCGTCCTGCGGCGGCAGCTCCTCGGTCCCACCTCTTGAGCCAGAATAAATATGTATGTATCTAAGGAGAGGATTCAACTTTGGTGGGGGAGCCGCTTTGGCCGCGTGGACCGTGCAAATCGTGGAGTTGCAAGTCACGCTCGGGCGGACAGCATCTGGTATAGCCCACCAGAACAATCAAACTACAAACCACTGTTTCATTGACATTCCGAAACACTCTACGGACTAGGTCCAGCCCTGGGTGGCGCAGATCTGACGTTTTGTATCTGTAAGTATAAAGATGAGAGTGAGGTTGAACCGGACCCAATCAAAGTCGGCGGTTTTCCAGGGGGGGGTATGACGAAAAACGGCGGGCGCATTATCTGAAAGTATAGAGATGGGAGTGAGGTTGAACCGGACCCAATCAAAGTCGGCGGGTTTCGGAGGGGGGGGGATATGACGAAAAACGGCGGGCGCATTTGGGCACATGACTGGGAGAACTCTGTGGTGGACCCGCTGGGCGAAAGGAGCTCGCAGACCGTTGCAGCCTCACGATGTCATTGAGCGGAGCGAGTGCGAGCGCGGCGGCCAAGCAGCGGCACCAGGAGCAGCGGCGAGCTGACACGAGCGCGCTCGCGGATGCGGCGAGGGGGCAGAGGCAGATGCCCGAGCTGCCGCCGTACGTGCCAGAATTTGACCTCGCGTTCATGTCTCAGATGCTGGGCGTTGGAGCCGTCCGGTCGGAGCCAGAAGACCCAGCCACTGGCGACGACGAGACGATCATGCAGGAGGCCGCCGTCGACGTTGCCCTCCAGCTTTTGACGGATGGCGAGGGGCTGCAGGCGCGGCTCGCATCTGATGAACCGAGCACAGATAGGGTTGTGACAATCGTCAGATCCGTGTTTTTCTGGTCTTGCGGTACATCTCTCCGCTCGCCACCTCACGCTCCGCCGTCCGGCCATGGATGGTCCGATGGAGCTCGCCGAGCTCCATCGGACCATCCAACTCCGGTCACCGAGTCTGAACGCGCTCAGCCTCAGGAGGTACCAAACCGCGCGAATTCTGCACGCCTCGCTGCACCGCTGGCTTGACTGAATCAGGCAGCAGCAGGCTGCTGCTGCTGCTGCAGCAGCAGTCTGCTGCGGCCCTAGTACGCAAGTTGATGACTAGCAGCACTGCCGGGGGCATTCGAGCCGCCACAGCCGGTGTGCGGCTGTGCACTGCCACCTGCCCGCGGCTACGCACAATGTGCGCTCGCATTGGATGAGCCCTGCTGATGGACCTGCATCGCCTAGCTGCACGAGAGCAATGCCGCAGGCAGTGGCCGTGGCATACACTGCGAGCACACTTGGTGCAGCTGCGAGGTGCAGCAAGAGCACGTCGTTCCTGCCTCTGATGCCACTCTCGCGGCTTGCAGCGCGTCACTCGCGCATGCTCTCCAGGAGCTATGGCGGGCGCGTGTGTGGGGCTGTAGCCTGTGTTTGGCCGGTTCTGACCCGTTTACTATCAGTATCATGTCCGGGCCACAAAAATTCGCACACGGGTAGCGGCTCAGGGGCCCAGTAAGTCGCGGAATCGCCAAATGTCACAACCTGCGCCACCCAGGGCTGGACCTAGTCGGTACGGCCAAACAATCAAACGGTGGTAAGATTTCAGTACGACTTCTGAGGCAAAATCTGACAGACATCGGAGAAATCGGCAAAATACCGGGTATTTCCCAGGTATACCCGGATTTTTCCAGCATTCCAGGTATACGCTATACCCGCAAAATACCCGGCATTTTGCCGATTTTGCTGAATTTGGCGGCAAACCAGCCTCAGACGACGGCTAGTGCTAGAGTCCCCCATCGGGAGGACGACCCCGGCTAGTCGCCGACCACACCCACAAAGAACCCTGCCTGCACAAAGATCGCAAGGGCGGGGGCCTGTTCCTTTTTACCCATCTCACAGTAGAGAGGTGTCCGTTTTTATTTATTTATTTAGACTCGGCTCAGAGCTCGAAAATTTGATGATTCCACGGAGTTTCGTATTTTACCATACCACGGGACTGGCGCGCACTGCCACTGGCACTAACACAGCCAACACATTCGAACGGGAAAAAGAATTTGAAAAGGATCTTTCTCTTTCTGCTTACACTGATCCCGGGACTGACGCGCACTGACATCATGAATAACACAACTCGCAAGATTGCAACAACCAAGAATTTTACAACGAAACTCCCTCGCACAACACTGGGCACGCCCAAGAAAATTCTTCTTTCAAACCATCTCACACTACGTACGTTCACCACCCGCGCCAAACAACAAGATCATCCATGCCTGGCCGAACCGCCGCTGGCAAAGGGCGCGGGCGCACTTCAACGGCAGCTACTGCACCGGCCGCGCTGCCGAAAAAGATCCAAGCCGCGGCGGCGGCCGGCAAGGTGGGCGTGGTGCAGACGTGGCTCGCCAGGGACGGGCTGGTTGACGCGACGTGCGTGCATGTTGGTGTGAGTGGCTGGACGCTACTGATGCTCGCCGCCGTCAACGGCCACAAGCAGCTGGTCGAACTTCTGCTGAAGCGGGGCGCGAAGGTGAACGCACAAAACAGCATCGGCACTACGGCGCTGATTGTCGCCGCCGTCAACGGCCACGTGCAGGTGGTCGAGACGCTGCTGCAGCACGGCGCGGAGAGAAACACGCAGAGCATCAAAGGCAGCACCGCGCTGATGTACGCTGCCCGCCAAGGCTACGAGCGCGTGGTCGACTTGCTTCTGCGGCACGGCGCAGAGGTCGACTTGCAGGAGAGCGACGGATACACTGCGCTCACGGGCGCTGCCTTCCACGGCCACCCTGTCGTCGTGCTCCAGCTTCTGCGGGCGGGCGCAGACATGGCGCTGCGCACTGCGGACAAGACGACACTGCAGATCGCCAAGGAGAAGGGTCACACTGAGTGCGTCGCCGCTGTCAAGACGTATCTCGGCGAGGTGGCGGCGGAGAGGCGCGACGCGGCGGCGGTCGAGGCGGGCGGGGCGGGGGCAGGCAGCGCTTCGGGCGGCAGTAGCGGGCCGATTCCCGAGGACATCGGCGAGGCGGGCGGCGCAGGGGCGGACGGCGGTGCCGCCTCGGGCAAGGGGGCAGCGGCGGCACCAACTGCCGCGTCCTCTTCTGGCGGCGTGGAGAGCGGAGCATGGCGCGGAGATCAACTCTCAGGCCAATGCCGGCCTCACTGCGCTGATGTTCGCCGCCCACCAGAACCACCCCGCGGCCCTGCTCTGCCTGCTTCGGGCGGGCGCCGACACGAAGCTGCGCACGGTGAGTGGACACGCGGCGCTGCAGATTGCCAAGGAGAAGGGCAGCACCGAGTGCGTGCGCGCCCTCGAGGAGCATGCGGCGGCCGAGGCGGCGGCCGAGGCGGCGGCGAAGGAGGCGGCGTGGGCTGCGGGGGCGGCGGAGAGGGCGGCGGAGCGGGCGGTGGCTGAGGCGGAGGCTGCGCGGCACGCCGACGAGCTGCTGGCGGAGGTCGAGGCGGAGAAGCGCGGCAAGGGCAAGAAGGGGAAGAAGAAGAAGAAGGGCGGCGGGAGCGGCGGCGCTGGGCCGTCGCAGGAGCCCGAGGCGACATCAGAGGCAGCTGCAGCCAAGCCCGCGAAGCTGGACAGGGAGGGATTGATCAGGCTTCTCGAGACGCTCCACGATGAGCGGATTCGGTACGGCATCACGGCGGAGACGTCGGTCGAGGGGCTGGCCGAGGCGCTGGGAGAGGTGGCCGAGGCGGCAGGTGAGGCGAGCGAGGAGGAGACGGCGGAGGCGGGTGAGGAGGCAGCTTGGGTGGCAGCGGAGGCGCGCCGGGAGGCTGAAGCCGAGGCCGACGCTCTGGCAGCGGCAGAGGAGGAGGCGGCCGCCGCGGCAGCGGCTGCGGCTGCGGCGGCTGCGGCGGCTGCAGCGGAGGCGGCGGAGGCGGCGGAGGCGGCACTGGCTGCCGTCAAGGCGAGGCGCGCGTCAGCGGCCGCCGCGAGGGCCAAGGCGGATGCCAACTAGCCGCGCGCAAGGACAGCAACCAAGTAGAGTACTGCTATTGGCGCCGGCGCACGCATGGTGGTTGGAGGCATGTGTTGGGAGGAAGGTGGGCAAGGGCAAGGGCAAGCCTGGGCACCGCAAGGCTGAGCTGATGCGAGTGGGCCTAGACACTTCTTCTCGCGCTCGTTTTTTTTACTTTACCACAGAAACTTCGTCGAATCATTTTTCTTTCTCGAGCAAGCGGCGTAAAGGCCAAGTAGTCCCGAATCTCCGTGGTTGTTTCTTTCATTTAGCCAAACGCAAGACAGAACACGACTTTGGCCCCCGACGTAACTTTTTTCTTTGCGGTGCTCTGCACACTCTGCCGCGTCCGGGTCTCCGATCAGCGGCCGCGCGGCTTGCCGGCCGCCTCCCACGCGACCAACCACTCGATCACATGCTCGTGCCTCTCGCGGCCGGCGTCGGAGTACGCGTTGTTGCCGGCCAGGTTCAGCTCCGCAGGGTCGGCACCGTTCTTGACCAGCGCCATCACGGTGTGCAGCTGCCCGAAGGACGCCGCCCAGCCGGCCGGCTGCGCGCAGAACCAGAGCGGGTTCCGCGCGTTCGGGTCGCAGGGCGTGCAGGGGATGTGCTTGCACGGCAGCGAGGTGAGGCAGTCGACGAGCGGCGCGCAGCCCCACATCGCGCAGCAGCTCGTCGGGCAGATCGCGAAGCAGGGCAGGCAGAGCACGGAGCAGCAGGGAAGAGCGGGCGCCTGGTCGGGGCGCGGCCCGCCGTTGGCGTGCGCGCTCTTGTCAAAGAGGCGGGAGGCGTCGATCGCAGTCGTGCCGCGCGCGTGCCGCTGGTACTCGTTGAGGAAGGTCGCCACGTGAAAGTGCCGCTCGCGGTACGCGTCGGTGAGCGGCCTGAAGCCCGACATGTTTGGCGGCCGGAGCGGATCTGCGCCGCACTGGATGAGGGCGATGACGGCAGATAGGTGCCCGAGCGACGCCGCCCAGCCAAGGGGTTCGCTGTCGAACCACGCATGCATCTTGGCGTTCGGGTCGTGGCCTGCCGCACAGAGCTGCCTGATGGTTTCCGCCTCGCCGCGCATCGCGGCGCGATGCAGCGGCCATGCCATCGCCCAGCCCATGCTATCGAACCAGCCGTAGGCCTTGAACTGATCGGGCCGAGGGCCGCCCGAGACCGGGTAGGAGCTGACCCAGCGCATCAGCTCGCTCTCCTCCACCGAACGCGCCATCACGTGGGTGGGTGGTGCCGTGTCGATTGGCACGGCCATGGCGACGGGCATCCCTTGGTCGGGCACGACGCCTTTGTTCATGGCAGCCGGAAGGGGGAACGCGCCTGCCGGCGCCGCGTTTCCTCACTACCTCCGTCAACCACCTTCCAAGAAAGAAGAAATCTTCGCGTCTGACGCTGGGCACGACACTGGCGCGCACTGGCACTAACACAGGTACACTAATAAAGAAGAATTTTAGAAAGAAGACATGTCAAAAAGAAATTTTATTTTTCGAGCGGGGCGGGGTGCGCGCTGTGCCTCTGTGTTCGTGCGTCGCCCATCTCTCCTGGAGATGCCTGCTCTATTTATTTATAAAGGTGGGGACTCTGTCGGTCTGTCCTTCTCCCATCCCTACTTTATTGGGTTTTAGTCACTTCTTTAGTTGGCCCGGGTTGGCACAGAATTCCCGCCACTGTCTCAGTCAGCTCTCTCGCAAAGGCGAAAGCACTGGGCACGGGACTTGCGAACACTGGCACGGACACAGGTACACCACGGGAGCTGCAAACTAAGCGACTCCTACGCGGGGCCTCAAAAGTACCGAGTTTGCAATGAGAAGTGACCCGAGCCTCAGTTCTCTTGCTCCAAGTGCTTTCGCTTCGGCGGTTAGTGGTGCACTGAGCCCTAGCTGTCAGGCTGTCAGGTGCTGTCAGGTGATCTGTCAGGCTGTCGGGCACTGTCAGGCACTGTCAGGTGCCTCTGTCAGACCAGCTGTCAGGTGCTGTCAGTGCTGTCGGGTGCTGTCAGGTGCTTGTCTGACAGGCGAGGTGCTCTGGTGCTGTCAGGTGCTGTCGGAGCTGTCGGGTGTTGCTGTCAGACGCTGTCGGAGCTGTCAGAGCTGTCAGGCTGCTGCTGCTGTGGTGCTGTCAGACGTAGGGCCGGTGCTGTCAGGTGCTGTCAGGTGGTGCTGTTGGGGTGCTGTCAGGCTCTGACACGCTCACCAGCCACACTTCTGACACTATCAAGAGGACGCAGCTGCCCCCCTCCTACGGCGTGATCACGCCGGCGGCGGCGGCCGCCTGGGGAGCGCAAATGGCGGCGCAGGCGCAGGCCGCGGCGGCGGCACAGGCGGCGGCAGCCACCCCCACCCAGACGCCGTAGGCACATACTGTAGGGCCCCAGAAGGCTAGCTGGTAGCTTCATTTGTAGTAGCACAGCCGCCGGTGCTACGAGAGAGGGGTCCGCAGAGGTGGGGCGGGAGGGTTGAGAGAGAGACCCATGACCATCCCATGACTGTGCTACGGTCTGTGTACGGTCTGTGCTGCTGTCGGGCTGGTCGGGCTGTCGGGCTGTCAGCGCTGCTGTCAGGCCACTGTGTGTGCTGTCGGGCTGTCGGGCAGCTGTCAGGCTGTCACGTTAGGGCCTGACAGCGACGGAGCAACAGCTTTGTCGACAAACTGGTCGAGCAAAATTTCGGCGAAGAAGCGCCACCGGCGGCACGCCGGGATGAATCCGCACCGATCCCATTGTTCAGCACCGCGACGGCGAGCCGCCGTGGGCCCACAGGAGGGCTCGGAACCGCGGCACCGGTCCGCGCCGCCAGCGGGGCGAGAGCACCAGCCTACAACCTGCCGACATGCACATGGCAGTTGCGACGGCGCCTTTCACACTGTGCACACACACACACACACACACACACACACACACACACACACACACACACACACACACACACACACACACACACACACACACACACACACACACACACAAGGGAGGGATGGGAGGAAGAAAGAACGAAGCGGCGGAAAATTCTTTTTCGCTGCCCCCTCTCGCCGGCTCCTCCTCTCTGCCGGGCGCGTCTCGGGCTCTTTCCGCCCGGCGATGACGACTTCATCCCGCCCGCAGCGCCTCGCTAGCCTCGGGCTTGGCAACATGAACCGGCGAGAGGTGCCTGTCGGGCAGTACTGGCAGGTGCAGGTGCCCGCTTGGCGCGGCATCGTAACATCGTCCGACGCTGCTGCTGCAGACCCGTCGTCAGCGGCGCAAATGACGGCAAACGCCGACCCGGTGCCGCAGTCGTCGATTGAGGAGGAGTTGGCGAGGCGGACGGCCCGCAAACTCACCGCCCTCGCGTTTGAGGAGGACTGCGCCCACGCGCACCGGATGGCAGCCGCTGTCGACCCCGCCTTGGACAACGGGGAGAGCCTGCGCCTCACCTCGTCGGGCTCGTACCTGTCTCGCTGGGGCGCTCGTCCGCCGCCGCCCGGCCCCGACGACGCGCTCGGCTTCGCGGCGGTGCTTCGAGCGGCGAGGGCCGAGGCGAAGGCGCTGGAGAGTGCGCCTCCAAAGCCAAAGCCGCAGCAAAAGCAAAAGGCGGCGCGGGCGCCGCGTGCGAGGCTGAGGGACATGGGGGCGGTGCCGGGCGAGAACTTTACGGAGGGGCTGCGCCTGCTCGCCGAGTACCTCGACGAGTGCGGCGGCGACGGCAGCAGCCTCATCGCCGACTGGCAGTGCCGGGTCGAGGCGCGCGCACTCTGTTCTCATACCACTAGAGGACGCGGAGAGGGGGGCGGCCCGGGACGGCGGATGGAACCAACCCTCGTCTGACCGCCTCTCGTGTCGCAATCTCGCCTGACTCTGATACCCACAGCCACTCACGCAATCTGTCGCGCTCCGCCGGCCGGCGCCGCTGAGCCGCTGCGCCTTGGCTGCGCGCCTCGGCCTGCACCTTGGTTGCACACCTCAGCGAGTGACGCCCGTTCTCAGGTGCGGAAGGAGGGGAACACTGCGGGGACGAGCGACATGTACTACTACTCCGACAAGGGCCAGCGCCTCCGCTCAAGGGCCGAGGTAGCGGCTCGCCCTTTCCCCTTCCGGCCCGACACCTCTCTCCCGGAGACACGCCCGCGACACGCCCACGACACGCCCACGACACGCCCGCGACACGCCCACGACACGCCCGCGACACGCCCGCGACATGTCCACGACACGCCCTTCTTTAGGTGGCTCGGTTCTTCAGGCTGGAGCCGATCAAGAGGAGCGGCAAGAGGCCAAAGCTGAGCGGAGGAGCGGCCCCGGTGGCGGCGGCGGCGGCAAGGCCCTACGACCCATCCGCCATCGCCTCCTCAGAGCCCGCACCGCCGCCCGCCTCCGTCGCCGCTGCGCCGCCCGCCGCGCCGCCCGCCGCGCCGCCCGCCGCGCCGCCCGTCGCGCCGCCCGTCGCGCCGCCCGCCGAGCCGCCCGCCGAGCCGCCCGCTGAGCCGCCGGGCGCTGGCGAGGGATGCGTCTCGCTCAAGCTGCAGGGTGCTGCGGGGCAGGGTGAGGTGGCGGCGGCGCAGGGGGCAGCGGAGCTGACGGCGGCGCAGGGGGCAGCGGCGGGTGCGGTGGCGGGTGCGGTCGCGGTCGTGGCCGTGGCCGTGAGCAACGGATTTGGCGGCGGCGGCGGCGGCGGCGGCGGCGGCGGCAGGAGCGGGAGCGGGAGTGCAACCACCACTCACCGAGCTTCCACGCCGCTGGGAGTCAGCCAAGTCGACGCTGCCGCCGACGCGGGGATGGGCGGTGGTGCGGCTAGCGGTGCGGCTTGGGAGGCGGCTGAGGCGGCGCCATCGGTGGCCGCTGCTGCGCGGCCGCAGAAGAGGGCGCGAGAGAAGCGGAGATGTCGCCGAGACGTAGCCGAGTGGCATGCGCTCGCACTGAATAGACACAGATGTAGATGCACACTGCGACGTGAGGAATGGATGACTGAGTGAAGAGGTGTCGCTCCCGCAACGCCACGGCGCTAGCGGCTCGATGGCACACAAGGGCCCGTCTCTCGCTCTCTCGCTCGCGGAACCTTCTCGGAACCCTCCTGCAGGCGCGCACGATCAAGCCGCCTCGCGGCAAGCCGCCGCGCGCAGAGGGGTGCCGCGTGGCGTGGGACGGTGTGTAGACGGGCGGGCGAGGCAGCAGCGAGCGGCTCCCTCTTGCCCCCCCCACCCGTCCGGCGAGGAGCTGCCGTAGGCGCCATTGGCTGCTACCGGACGGCGGAGGAGCCTCCGAGGCGCCGCGCGCGACGCCTCCTCGCCGAGCCCTCCGGGAGACTGTGAGGCCCGAGAGCTGCCACGCGTAGGTACTGGCACGGCGCGGCGAAGCTTGGCGAAGGCGAGGCGGCGGCGAGGTCCACCGCACCCACGCCGCACAAAGAGACGTCCCTCTCTGTTCTTCCGTAGGCGGCTGGAAGGCGAGCGTGCCGTGGTGTGCTGCCTGGAGCTTGCCCGAGGCGTGACGCTGGACTGACTCCCCGCGGCTCGCGCGGAGACGGGAGTTCTTGTTCGTTCCCTCCGTTGCTTTCGTTATCTCAGGGTGGCGCGCGCGAGACATGACTCATGAGAAGGAGTCTGTCCGAGACACGATCGATTCGTTTTTCATTAGCATTCCACGTAATAAACTTTAGAAGTTACGCATGTGCGCCCTCCCCTCACCTGGGCGCAAGCGCCTCACGTCACACGTGTCGTGTCCCTTATACTCTCGCACAACAACCCACTCACAAGTGCAGGCTTATTACCGAATGGATGACGTGCGATTGGACGCGCCGTAAACTGTCGAGATGCAGACCACCCCTTGGTTGCATAGAGTGTCGACACCGAACACGCATCCTGACCAGACTGGGTTCCAGTAAACGCAGCCCTCCTGACCAGACAGGGTGCCGTCTCGTCAAGCCAGCAGCCCGCGGGCCGTGGGCCCCAGCCAGGAAGGGCCTGCATCCTACAATTGGTCGTGGCTGGGGCCCACGGGCAGCGCTGACCGTACGTGGTAGCGTCCCAGTCGCCGAAGGCACGACATTCGTCTTCCGTCGCCATATGACGAGTGCCAGGAGGGCAGTCGATCGCAGAGTTCGCGGCGACATGTGTAGGCGGCGGCTGCTAGTGCAGCGGCTTATCAATATGGAGTTTCGTTACGCTTGCCGCGGCAA